GGGCTATCAAGGTTTCCAATGTAGGTCCCTACTTTTGTAATACAAAGGAAGGGAGGGTTATTTGGCAGAAGTTTGCTGCTTGCATGCTTTCTTGTAGGCCTCCTAGAATTTACAGGTGATAAAGGAAAGTGGTGGTCTTATTTTAATCTTACAGCAGTCCTGGCATTGGGGTTGCTCTTTTGGTTGGCTAATACCTTCTATTTAACCTGGTCCCTCATCTCACTGAACAGAAGAGATTAGAAATGAAGGTGTAGGTGTAGTCACAAATCCAGAGAGAGAGCAGATGCATTCACTTCTGTCCTGGTAAAAGAGTATTTCTGTGTGGATGGAAATCCTGGTTTTAGTTTGGAATACTAAATAATTAAATGTCAGTGAGGAGCTTTGTATTTTAATTTTGTTGCTACTTAACGCATTCATGCTGAACTCCTTAGTGGATTGCGAAGTTCAGTGTAAATCAGTTTCCCATTTGGGTCATGTGTAATCTCACTGCCATGCCCCCTTCACAGAAGGGTGTCATTGGAGGCTTCATTTATCTAGTTTTGTTTAAAATGTCAGTGAATTAGAACACCTTTTGCTTTAAAAAATAAGCCCATCTTTTGTCTGAACCTGCTCTCTTTCCTTCCCAAGTGAGGAGCGGGGAAATCTTTAAATTGAAAAGCATTGACTCTGCAGAAGAATTGCTGACTGTAATGGATGACTTTGCTCAGAACTGGAACCTTTTCCAGGTCATGATGTTTGAACAGCTAAAACCAGTATTCATCCCAATTAGCTGATCATTGTGCCTTTAGTCACATCCTGTGCACTTGGTGACAGGAAATTATGGGTGTGGTTGAAGTCTTCAATCTCATCAAAATATCTGTATGGTAACTACAAATAACTATTTCTTGGTTACAGTGGATGCTTCTCATTACACACTTGACTAGGCAGCATGGTGGGCTGCAGGTGTGAATTCTGGTCTGCCAAGAATGACACATTACCATCTGCAACCATGACTTTGGGGCTGTGCTGTGTAATTAAAATAATGGTTGTATTTCTTTACTGAGTTAGTAGTGGTAATCTTTTGATGACTGGTTCATAGTGCTGCTTCAAGCATTGATTTACAATTCTACACAGATACAGTGGTATTTACTGTTTGGTTTGGGTCTCGTTATTTTCTTCTATGTGCCCCAGAGTTTTTCATGGTAGATAATTGGTTACTTGTCAGAGCTCATGCTAGAATGTAGGGACCTAAGAAGGGGTCAGAGTAATTAAGAAATATCTGGTATATTCTGGAAACACAGATGAATTTGGGTACAGATTAATTCAGAGGATTTTGTAGAAATGGGCCACTGGAAGTTATTTCTGTGAGACGAGGTTGATGATGTACACTGCTTGTGAGGGAAACTTGCATATCCTCAGCACAGAGTGAGTTGAGGAAGTAAAATAGATGGATTATGGCTTTTATGACACTCAACTCTGAGTCTTATTTGTAGCATATAGGATAAAAATATTTAGAGGGTGCAACGAAAATAAGAGATACATCTGCATGCATAAAACCCATGCATTTCATTAAATAAACTGAGGATCTGAAAATCACATGGTAGTGACTTTAATAGTCATCATTTCAAAATTCTTGTATGTCTTAAAACAATGAAACTGATCTTTGTGTTTTAAGACCAGCATCTTGCAGACATGTGCTTTGTAAGCAGAGCCACCAAAGCAGGTTGGTACTGTTCAGCTCGGCCTTTAGATGATGTGCAGCAGGCCAGGAGTGGTTTAATTCTTAAGTGCTAGGTTGAGTTTTTATGCAGTGCTACTCTTTTTATAGTAAAGTGAAAATTGGTTGTTTTCTTGTGTGTTTAAACCAATATTGGTTTTATTCTTGTTAAGTTTTGGGATTGTACAAGTTTTCACAGAGAAATGACTGAGTAAGCCAATATCAAGTCACAATGAATTCCAGTGACTATGACTAAGCTGAAATTTGATACTTATTGTTTATTTTTTGAACTTTGAGATTGTTCTGAGTAAAGTATGTGACTTTCCACCTCAGCAGTAGTGTTTACAACAGCATTACACTTGTTCTTATACTCTTCCTGTGTAACTGTCTCACAGCTGTGTGTTTTTTGTCTTTGACTTCATTAGTAATTGTCTGTAAAATTAGCATTTATCAACTTGAAGTAACGTGTTCTTTGCTGTCTTATTCTGTATGTGTTTGCATTTTATTTTGAAGTCTGAGAGTGTAGTGCTGAAAAAATAATTAAACTGATTTAGAGGCAGGGTTTTACAACTGTAATATGGTAGGCTGTTGATTACAAGTTTTTGCTTAAGTATCCTGCACCACAGAAATTTGACTTGTGGTTGTATTCTTCTATGTAAAAAAGATTAATTAAGTGTTAAGAGGTGTAGAGAAATTCAGGGCTATCCTAATAGTAGCAATTGTTGAGAACTGAAAAAAGGCAGAGACAAAAAGAATTAATAGGTGCTCGAGAAAATCTGTTTATGAATTTTATCATTGTTTGTCATGATGATAGGCTGTGAAGCCTGGATGTTTCAAAATGTTGATGTCAAAATACTGCATTGTTGCCCTATTATCCTTTGTGGCAGTAGGTCCTGGGGTGTTTGAAGTTTAGGGGGTTATGTGTGTGTGTGTGTGTGTGTCTGTCTTAGTTCTCCTTTGTCAGATGATTGGATCAAGGAGGTTTCTGCTTTCTGCTGAAGGATGGTGAAGAGTGCTCTATTGCTTCTTCTCCCTGAGGAAGTGTAGGAGAGCTGTTGATGGGAAGTCCATTTGTTGGAGAGGAGGATGCATGGGGGAGGGAGTTACCTGATGTGCTGACTGAGCAGCACCTTCAAGAATCAGTAAAAAGAGGGAGTGGAACCAGGTGGAGTTGCTGTGTGTGATCCAGTACAAGGTTGGGGCACAGATACTGCAGGACTAGTATTAGTGGTCACTTGCCATTGTGAAATTGTAGTATTAAATGTAGTGTTTTACCAACTCGTGTTTGTATTGTGTGTAAGTCCTTTCTTTTTTACTTTACCTTTTTATAGGAATTAATTTATTATGAAAGTTGGGATATAGTAGACTGCTTGTTGGTGGCTTGCTTTCAGGATGTTATTTTTTCTACTTTCAGCTCTGCTGATGCTCTTTTATAGAGCCAAGTAGAGTGTTTAAGCACTTGAGTATGTGCCACTTCTAATACTGTGGGACATAAGACTGTAAATGACCCAAACAGTTCATAACACAGTGTTGCATGAAACTGGTTTGAAAACATGGAAATGTTGGAATCCCTGCACCAGCATTCCTCCACTGCAGGATTTAAACAGAGGTTGCTGTTTTGCAAATTGACCTGGAACAGTCTTTTTCCATCAGAGTAGCTGTCTGACTTCTCTGTGTGGTTGGTCATGTGAGTATCTGGGTGATTTAATATTTCAGAAACTGTGGAAGCAACAACTCAGTTACTAAGAACTGCCATTCTCAGCACAAACACTGCATACCTTTGATGAAAAATGAATGCTGCGTTCTTTGTGCCATACTTCAAGTGGGTAAAGAAAATCCAGTGGTAGAAACTCTCATTAAAGAGTAGGTTTTTTATATCAAAATCCTGTAAGCATCTGTGATGTTCTCTGTCTAAAGGAGAATTAAGCTGGCTAATGCTTCTGAATGTAAGGGAGTATTAGAAGAGGCTAGGGCTGTTCAAACACCTTCAAAACATCCGGTGAGTGTCACGTCATTAAAGTTAACTCAAGTCAGGCTATCTTAAAATACATCTGCACTTTTAGCATTGACCACAAACCAGGAATGACCTATCTTTAGTACTGGGCACAATGCAAGTGGAAACAGTCACATGAGACTGACTTTTGAGGTGAATATGTCTGCAGAGTGACATCTAAAGCTTTATGTCATGCAGGGTGCTTAGCCATGCTGTATTTTTTTATTTCTTTGCAGTGAAACATTGAATTTAATGAATTTCCATCATTAAACTTAGGTGTTGTTTCTGTTTGAAGTGGTGACCATGGTGGTCAGCCAGGATGATGTGTGGGACAGTGACACCACTTTTGGGTGGGAGTGTCAGCCGCTTTCTTATAGACAATTGGGTTATAGAATAGAATATAATTTTTATATATTTTCTTGTAATTGAGTTAATGAGGTTAAAAAGGATCATTTTTTAATAGGAGCATTGACTCTTGAAAAACAGGGAAATCTTAGTAGATGGTTACTAGTAAACTTGTTACTATTTATATTTTTAATAGCTTCTTGATTTAGCAAATCATTGTGGCATGTGTCTGGTGACTGTTCTGAGAACAAACTGTAACAACTGTCTTGCATTATTTCAAAATTACCTTTCTGGTGCTATATTTAGCCTGTGCTTCTTCATACAAATTACTTTTGTCTGCAACTTTGATATCCACAATTTTTGGGGAAAAAATGGTGATCACAAACAGCGTACCCACCTCTGGTTTATGAAGACACAATTTGATGTTATTAGTCTGTGTTAAATCACAAAACTTGTTGAGAGAACTTGTGCAGGTAGTGGCCTGCTCTGTAATTGCTGGTACCAGTGGATGTGTGTTCTCATTCTGCTTCATGCAGGACCCCTCTGCCTTTGCAGGTGGGTTGAAGATGTTTGTACAGGCGAGTAGTGCCAAGGTATTGGTGGTGTTTTGGCTGTGTCTGAGTTTGGGCTTTTGGAAGTAAGATGTTGGCAAGTTTTTTAGATTCAGTTTTTCAAAATACTTAAAAACTTCTTAAGTTCCAGTAGTGATGTTCATTGTTCTATGCTTTGCAGAACTATTTTTATAGAAAGTCTGAAGTTTTGCTTCAGATACAGTAAAGTAAAATGCTGTTTTAAGATAAATGGCATTTAAGTAAAGATAAACTACTCCCTCAAGTGCTTCAGGGAAGGAAGGGACGGACAAGAGCTAAAGAGAGCAGGTAGCAGAGTTGGAAGTGGTAGAGTGTGCTTTGAATAAAACAGCTTTTCCTAGACAAACTCACCATTTATGTACTTTTTTGCTTATAGGCTAAAGAAATTTTGACAAAAGAATCCAATGTACAAGAAGTGCGATGTCCAGTCACAGTCTGTGGAGATGTCCATGGACAATTTCACGACCTCATGGAACTTTTCAGAATTGGAGGCAAATCACCAGACACAAACTATTTGTTTATGGGGGACTATGTTGACAGAGGATATTATTCAGTCGAAACAGTCACATTGCTTGTAGCTCTTAAGGTAACTTTGCTTCTCAGCTTTACAGTTGTATATAAAATATATCATTACTATCCTTACTACACTTAATATTTATTATGATTTTCACTGTATTGGTATTAGAGCTACTGAAACTGACTTGTTACCTTTCTTAGTTTTACTTATTAAAAAAAAAAATTATAAAAATGTTCAGGTGCAAGCCTGAGCTTTATCTGAAATGAGTGTTTATGTTTTACTTGCCTAAGTAGCAATCTTTAAGAATTTGCTTGGAGAGATCAGCTTAATGCACAGGTGTAATGAAGTCCCCTAGTAATAATAAATACAACTTGTAATTAAACTCAGAAGTAAGTGGCCATTGAAGATTGAAATAAATGAGTAATTTTTTTTCCCCTTAAAGGTTATTATTTAATCTTCAGAATGGTTCAGTTTTAGTTGCTTTATTGATGTGTGGCAGGGATTGAGGAGTGAAAATTCTGTTCTGGGGAAGAGTTGCTCATTGATGTGCTAAAATAAACTCTCCTGTTTAGGTCCGTTACCGTGAACGTATCACAATTCTTCGAGGGAACCATGAAAGCAGGCAAATCACACAAGTTTATGGTTTCTATGATGAATGTTTAAGGAAATACGGAAATGCAAATGTTTGGAAGTACTTTACAGACCTTTTTGATTACCTGCCTCTAACTGCCTTGGTGGATGGCCAGGTATGTTGACATCTGACAAACTTGAATGTTTTTGATTGTAAAGGGAGTTCTTAACATTGCATTCTCTCAGCTCTCATCTTCAAAGGAATCTCATGCAAATTTTCTCATAATAATTTATTCTAAACTGTTCTAACTGCACTGATTAATGCAAATAAACTTCATGGTTCTTAACTTGCAGATTTTTTGTCTACATGGTGGCCTCTCTCCATCTATAGATACACTGGATCACATCAGAGCACTTGATCGCTTGCAGGAAGTTCCCCATGAGGTACTGAAAAATAATTTTCTAAGCCAATGAGATTGATGATTCAGCATGTATTGGGGGGTTAAGCTTGCAGGCTGAAAATGAAATTCAAACCAGCTTAGCAATATTAAAGTGCTTGCTGTCTTCCTGTTCTGGATTTTTTAAAGGAAAATGAGAGGCATGTCCTTGCTTAAAGAAGGAAACATATTAAGTCTTAAAGAGCTGTGCAGGGGTGGTGCATGTGCAAACATTTTTGGTTTTTGTTGGTTTTGGTTCTTTGCACTTCACCTCTGAAACATCATCTACATCTCTTACAGGGTCCAATGTGTGACTTGCTATGGTCAGATCCAGATGATCGTGGTGGCTGGGGAATTTCTCCTCGAGGTGCAGGTTACACATTTGGACAGGATATTTCAGAAACCTTTAACCATGCAAATGGCCTTACGTTGGTTTCAAGAGCTCATCAGTTGGTAATGGAGGTGAGCAGGACCGCCTGTGTGTACAAACTTTGGATTGTGTCCTTGGTCCATTGATTCCATGCTCTGTGTGTCAGAGATGTGTGTATGCTACTGACAGGTGATGATCCAGCTAAGAGTATTCCAGAAACTTGACATTGACAGCATTCACGTGCTACTAAAGGAGTTTGACAGTGGAGTAACCTTTTTTTGGCCTTGTTTTCCTGAAAATGTACAGTAATATCTCAAACCAGGCTTTGGTACTACATGTGGTATTGCATTTCTGTGTAGATTAAAAGGTTTTTAAATATGTTTTAAATATTTTAAAGGTGTAATTTTTGTTTTTAGCTTGGATGTGTGCTTTTGTTCTTGGTCTCTAGTTACTCCCAGCAGTTCAGATTTTTAAATGTATGTCTGGACTCTGGTTTTGGTGATCACAGTTGAAGATTTAGAGTGGATTGTGTACTTCAGAATTGCTGTTTTAACTATTTAATGCTAATGCAATGGAGAAATATTGCTAGGTGTTTTGTTTTTTTTTTTAATATCTAGCTCATATTTGCTAGTAGGAAGCAACCTATGAAGGCCAAAATTCCTTTTTACACTTTTTCTCTCCAGAAGAGAAAAAAAGGACACAGCCTTAAGCTTATTTAAAGTAACCCTACAAATGCCACTTAGGGCTGTGTGCATTAAAAGGCTGGTTTGTAGTCAGGTGGTTGCGTGGGGCACAGTAACTTGGTTGTCATAATAATTTTTTCCTTCTTTCCAGGGGTACAACTGGTGCCATGATCGGAATGTAGTAACAATTTTCAGTGCTCCAAACTATTGTTACCGTTGTGGCAACCAGGCTGCAATTATGGAACTTGATGATACTCTAAAATACTCCTTGTAAGTATGTTTAAAAATAAGAATTGCGTTGCCTGTGATTTTAAGATACCATTTAATTATGTTAAAGTATGGGGGTTTCTTCCTCTCTCTAAGCCTTCAGGAGGTAGAGTGAGTGTGGAATTGTTGGGTTAGTCACATTTAAAGTCTTGGAGTCAAGCCTCTGGAACAGTTGCTGTTGAGCTCTTTTATCACATTAAAGTGAGACTCCTCAGTTTTGTTTTTATAAGTACCTGGACTTACAGTGTAGGGATGTGATTTGAGAGCAGGAGTAGTCTGTGACATCTAAGGTAATGCATTCCAGTCTTGGGCAGGAGACTTGAAGAATCTTTGAATTCTTCAGGTGTTGGGATGTCAAGTCTTTAAATGAGATTTCTAATTAACTACTGCAGCAGCAACTTTACTAGTAAATGAGACAAAAGCACCATGCAAACTGCCCTCTTTGATAATAACTGGAGACTTTAACTTTCTAATAGATACAAAAGTTCGACCACTTTGAGTCTTAAAGCTGAAATTAATTTCTTTCCAGACCTTCATGGTAAGAGGAATTTATTATGTGATGGTTGAAAGTACATACTAAGAGGAGTGGAAGAGCTGGAACACTTGTTCTAGAAAAGTTAAGTTGGTTGATAAAACTTACAGGAGCAGTGGTTTAACACAAGTGAGTCTCTGCAGTTCAGGGCTAGAGCACACCTGAACGTGAGCTGCGCTCTTGTTTTCATTGACTCTGTCTCTTCAGTTTGCAGTTTGACCCGGCGCCGCGCAGAGGTGAACCGCATGTTACTCGTCGCACCCCAGACTACTTCCTGTAAAGAGATTTTAGACCTGTACAGTATTGCCATGAACCATATGTTGACCTAAAGAAAATGGGAAGAGCAACAGTAACTCCAAAGTGTCAGAAAATATTTAACATTCAAACTTTGTTTTCACATGGACCAAAAGACGTGCCATATTCAATACAAAGCCTCTTGTCATCAACAACTGTGACCACTTTAGAATGAACCAGTTCATTGCATGCTGAAGCAACATTGTTGGTCAAGAAACCAGTTTCTGGCATAGCGCTATTTGTAGTTACTTTTGCTTTCTCTGAGAGACTGCAAATAATAAGATGTAGACATTAACACCTCGTGAATACATTTAACTTTCCATTTAGCTATAGCTTTATTCAGCATGACTGTAGATAAGGGTAGCAGCAAACAATCATTGAAGCTTAAAGAACATTTTTAAAATAAGTACCAAGGCCTCATATTTGTTCTGAAACTGTTTGTTTTATTTTCAGGGAATACTGTTTAATTTAATTGTATTGATTTTTTTTTTTTTTTTGTCTGCACTCAGTTCCCTTTTCCACTCTGCCCTACCATATTGTCCCTTGTAATTGTCCAAGGATAGTGAATTACTTTGAACAGAACTGTTTTTTTCTGTAAAACAATGTTACTGCAGGACAGAGCTGCAGTGTTTTTCATAATAAACTTGTGAACTAAGTATGGAAAAATGTCAAAATTCTAATTGCATCTCAGGTCAACTGTGGTTTAATAAACTAACATATGTAGCTGGATGGGTTTTATAAACTTGCATAGAAATTTCCACCTTCTAAATAAGTAAAACTGAGGTGATTTGGAGTGTGCTGGAAAACTCTGACCTTCTGAATCGTGTCCCAGGAAGGTGCCCGGGCCTGTGTCTCACAGCTGAGAACAGCTTGCTGGTTACTCACATGTTGCTCTTTCCCTCTTGGTGCTCTACTGAAATGCTCAGAAATGGAAGAATATAAGTTCACTTAACTGTTTGCTTGTGTCTTTATTTCAAGTGTAAATCTAAGTTTGAGTAATTTACAATGTAGGTGCTAATACTTAAAAATAATTTTTCTGAACAACTAAGAATAAAACCAGTTTTGTAAATATTAAAGGAAACAACTTGAAATTTAGTGCTACGTGTATTTGCCCAGGCTTCCATTCTGAAAAACAGTGATATGTGGTTTGTGTTAACTTCTGTTTAAATATTTCCTTTCTACTAACTTCTTCAAAATCTGAACCCCAATTTGATGATTTGGTTCAAAGCCAGAATTCAAATGTTACACCTTCTTGAGGCTTGTGTGTGAAACTTCTTGGGTACATCTAAATTATGTACCTGGCTGTTGACTTAGTAGAAGGTCTCTTAATATTCAGATTGTTTGAGACTTTAAGTTTCTTGGGCACAGTGTAGATTCTGTAATAACGTGGAGATTTGTTTTTTATGCTGCTTGTTTCTAAGGGAACACACAAATTTTGCAAATGTTCAACTCGCCTGGAGGTCTAGTCCTAGCCATGCTTTTCTGAAAAGTTGGAGTACCACTTAATTCTTTAACTTGAAAAGAAGATGCTGCATTTCATCAAGCATTGCTTCATCCCCTTTCAGAAAGGCTTAAGTGGTTGCTTTTCCTTCAGCAGAATTTGAGTCCTGTTGTGGTAGGTTGGGTTCCAAATGGCTTCTGGAGAGCTCAGTCTGCTGTAGTTTGATCTCGTACAGGAAGAAGTGCATGCCAAAAATAAGTGCACCTGAAGTTGCTTTTTTTAGTATAGTGGGAGCTTTGGCTTTGATCACTATTAAAACAATCCTTTGCTGAGAGTAGTTCATGTTCCATTCCTGTCACTTGTCTTTCTCTGTGTTTGTGTAGATGGGACTTTGTGCTTTCATTGACACCATTCCTTCAAGAGGAATGACTTTGCCCTATTTTCTGCTTTTCTTGTTGCTTTAATTGGTGTGACTCATCTGCTCTGGCAGGGAGCAGTCCTTTCTTTGCTTCAGTTTCTGTACACAAATCCAAGTGCTTGTTAGTAAAGTCCATGGACAATGTTGGAGTCACTCCAGTTTTTGTGCTTTCCTCTATAATTATGTTGTGATGGTCTGTGTGAAGATTCCAGTGCAAAAACCACATTGTTTTCTTCAGTGAAGAAAAAATACATTGCTGTGATGGAGCACTAACCAGCTGAACTCATGTTTGGAAGATGCAAGAGAAGAAACAAAGATATAGATAATGGGGGTTTGATTTATTAGTAGCTGATTGGTACTGCACAAACTTCCTTTGCTTCAGCCTGTGAGCTTGGTGGCTACAGAGAAATGAGCAGAGTTTGGAGATCCCTGGCAATTCCTCCATCTCTGCTCTGCCTGCTCCATTCCATGCAGTACAAAGGAGAGGCACAGCTGGAACTCCCGTATTGTGGTGGTTCAGTGTTGAAGTGGAAATGCCACACCCAGTTCTTAGTGGGGAGGGCTGACATTGGGGTTTAGGTTATCAGAAGGCAGTTGGGAATGAAACTGTACTTCTCTGTGAGCTGTTCTTTTCTTCTTTCTCGGAACTTGAATAGAGCCAGGAGAGTATTTTTGGACAAAGGGAGAGGGTTTTAAGCTTTCCAAATTTCATTTTGTATAAGTCACTGGCCATTTCATATCAAAGTGAGCACCCTGAACTGCTGCAGGTGTGCCTGAGAACTGAGGGCCCATGAAATCAAGTATGTATTATATACATACAGAGATGTATAGATTTGCCAAATTTTTTCCCCCCTTCACCCTCTTTGTGCACCTTTCTTCTGCCTATTTCCACCCTGTGCTTTGTTTCTCTACTTATGGCCCTCCCTTTACAGATCCCTGGAGCTTGGGGCTGCCTGCTGCCCCAACCCCTGCCCAAGCTGCCCCTGCAGGTGGATGTTTGTCCAAGGTAACAAATGTGTGTGACTGTCACCTGGTGCTCTTTCCTGATTGCTTCAGCTGCCGATGCTGCTGTACACGCTCAGTATCCCTGCTCCAAGTGCTTGGGCAGTGTTGCCTCATTTAGGTCTCCTGATCATACCCAGGCAAGATACTGGATCCATGGGAGAGTGCAGGTAGAGTGTTGTCTCCTTCCCCACGTGTCTGGATGGTGACAGAACAAATTCTGCCCTGTGAAAAAGGTGGTGAGGGGACATCCTGATAATGGAAGCTGTGACATTTCACCCATTTCTATCTTGGTCCAGTTCCTGTCAAAAGCTCCTCCAGTAAGAGAAAAATTGCTGAAAGCTGCCAATACCTACCAATCCACGTTCCATGGGATTTATTTTGATTTTTATAGCAGTAAACTGAAGCACAGTCCTTTTTAAAAATCAATTGTGTTTCAAGGACGTTGGGACAAGTCTTTGCTTTGACAATTTAAAAATTTATCCTGACTCTTAAAAGTAAAGGATTTCCTCCTGTACAAGACAAAACCAAACCGCTATGCTAGTGCTGGGTTTATTTTGGCTCTTTTTTTCATAGTTAAATAAACATATTCTTAGTAATACTGGAGTGCAGTTCCTGCTCTTGGAGGAGCTGTGACCTTGGGAGGGGGCTGGAGAATAAGCACTCTTGTTCATTCAGGAAAAATGGTTGTAAGATGCAAGTGTGATCACAATTTTGAATTTCAAGTTAAATGCTGCTCCAAATTCAGTGAAAGTGTGTCTCCACTCTCATTACCTCCTTACACTTCCACACTCATTTATAGCTCTAATTGCTGCTTGTTTGGATGCAGAGCACTCCTGGAAACTCTTAATGTATTTTAAGGTTTGCCATCTAGGTTAGAGCAAATTTGCCTGAAAAGCGGCTTTTTACATGTTCCATGTTTTATGCAACAGTACTCGTGGTTTGTATGAGTTTGGATTTTTGGAGCAAAATGTCTGCAAGCAGTGATTTTTGAAGCCTTGTAGAAGGCATTGGATGCCTTGTGTGTGCTATGGCAGTCATGACACAGGACTGGTGTTCTGCAAGTTCTGGGAGAAGGTTTGAAACAGGTAAAGTGTTAAGTAAAAATCACACTGGACTGTGTAGAAATCTTTCAGTACTCATGAACACACCAACAAAGCCCTGCAGAGTCAGCAGTTCATGAGTCAGCCTTCTGTGGCTTTACAAAAAGTTATTTTGGTACTCTAATTCATTTGGCTTTACTCCTTTTGGATGGGAATAAAGGCAGGCTGCTCTCTTGAGCAAGGGACCAGAGTGCTTTGGCATATGGACAGGGAAAAAAGGCTGAAACAACACTTTTGGTTTTAAATTAAGCAGTGCTGCAAGTTTTAGCCTTTTAAACCTGTGCTGGAGCTTAAAAGCTTTAGTCTTTAAGATGGGTTGAACTCCTGATCTCTTAATTACTCTCTGGTGAAAAGAACGTTGGGATGGAGACTATAATGATTGCTGCTGGTAGGTATAAAAAATGTATAAAAGATGAATTGCTAATAGTACCTGGGACTGCTAATTGGAGGAGGAGCAGTGTGATCAGGGTGAGCATCCTACATCAGAACTTGCAGGAAAGTGATTTTGAGGAGAACGCCCTCCATTTTGCAGCTACTCGTATCATTGCACAAGGTTGTATAAATTAAACTCAATCTTTGCTTTTGGTTGTCTTGACTTCTGTATACATCTTCCTCAGTAGATTTCCCCCAAATACATCTGGGTTTTTGGAGGTTAGGTTCTTTTGGTTTGTTTTTGTTGCTTTGGTTTTTTTTTTTTTTTTTGTTGTTTAATTTCAATAAATCTATAAGCTGTTTTCTAGATTATGCATTTAAAACCAAAGGTACTGAACTGTAAAAGAGCAGTGTCCTGTTTACAATGATAATTGCATGATCGATTGGGCTGAAAGGCTTTAGCCTGGCTTCCAACTGCCTTTCTTTTTCAGGAGTTTGAGAAAAGACTCCTTTACATCCAGCCTAACCCTAAACCTTGCTCTGAAAAAACCTGCTTTATTGTGGCCATCAGTGCAGGAGTCAGCAATGAGGCCTGCTCTATTCTGCTGCTTTATTCTTTATAAGGAAAATGCGGGGGGGTGGGTGGCGGAGCACACAGCTGAAGAAGCCCTGCCTGGGAGTATCCTATGGTGGGTGTTTAATTCCACGCTTGACCCACTTCTCAGGCAGCTCTGCTCCTTTTCCACCGCTGTGTTTGTCCCCGGGGAAGAGGAGCACAGCCTGCTGCTGCTGGAGCAGGGACAATGCCCAGGGGAGGGGGTGCCACAGCTTCCTGGGAGAGAGACAGGCTGGTGACGGGTTCTGTTTGTCTGGTCATGAGTTTATCCAGCTTTAGCTCAGCCATCTCCAAACGTTATTGGACTGTCTCTTTCTTCCCTGGAATCCCTTTTTAAAATGTTTTGAATGCGTTTTAAAGAGCTGACTTCTGAAACACACTGTATTTATTCCCATGGACTTTGAAACCTCAAAGCAACTGCTCATTATCATCTGTGTCGTCAGAACCAGCCCAGAATCTGCTTTTTGGACTTTGAACGGCTCCAGCGTCGGAGACCAATGCCAGGCAGCCCTGTAAAGCTAAGCCAGTTCCCTTCCCCTTGTGTTTATATCAAGCAATTTTACAGTTTGATACGGTACCATGTAGGTCGTTCTGAAGGCCACCTACAGAAAGTCTGCACTTTCTGCGCTCGCTGCCGGCCCCGGTCCCTCGCAGCGGGCCCCGGCGCCACCGCGCGGCACTGCCCCGCCTGCGGCACCGCCCCGCTCCGCTGCCGGCACGGCTGACGGGCACCGGCGCTAACCTGCCTGCAGGTGGGCGACCCTCGCCCTCGGCACCCTGAGGATCCGGGCTTGGCTCCCCCAGAGTGCTCCCGATGATTTCAGAGGATGCCAGGGCAGAACTGTAGAAACATCACTGTTTAAATATGGGGAGGTGGACTGACGGTGAGATTAGGAATTAGGTGCTGCAATAGGTCTGAGATAAGTATTACTATTTTCAGTCTTCCTCCTCTTCAGTTTTTTAAACTATCTTGAATCCCCGTTGTTATGTAAGGTGAATGAGAGTGCTGTTAGAGGAAGAAATAGAAGCTGGTAAAAAAGAAATCTCCCTTGGTGTCTGCTTGACAGGATTTGGTTATTGGGTTTTGTCAGTCCATTGGGGCCTATTCTATTCCCAGAGTCCCCACCTGCCATGCTGTGTCCAGCTCTGGGATCCCCAGAATCAGAAGGACCTGCAGCTGCTGGAGCAAGACCAGAGGAGGCCCTGGAGATGCTCTGAGGGCTGGAGCCCCTCTGCTCTGCAGCCGAGCTGGGAGAGCTGGGGGTGCTCACCTGGAGAACACAAGGCTCCCGACAGACCTGAGAAGCCAAATCTCAGTCCAGTGCCTAAAAGGGCTACAAAAGAACTGGAGGGGGCCTTGGGACAGGGGCCTGGAATGACAGGACAAGCAAAATTTGCTTTAAACTGACAGAGAGCAGGACTAGATTGGATGTTGGGAAGAAATTCTTGCTTATGACTATGGCGAGGCCCTGGCACAGGCTGCCCAATCCCTAGAAGTGCTCAAGGCCAGGTTGGATGGGACCTTGAGCAACCTGGTCTAGTCCACAGCAGAGGGTTGGAACTGGATGAGCTTTAATGTCCCTGACAACCTGAACCATTTTAGGATTCTCTGATCCTCTGACCTGGACTCTCACCCAAGTGCTGGGCTCGGCCACCCACCATTTTGCATTGCTGGGGTACAACTTCTATGAAAAGTGACACCTTCTAAAGGATGCTGCTTTAATACAAATTTTTCTGAAGTGGAAATGCAATAATTAGCTTTTTATATAATTAGCTTTTTCAGACTTGTACTGAGAACAAGAATTTTCCTCTTCTGCTGCTGCATTGTTCCAAGACTGCTTTAAAAAACAGTGGCCTTTGAGCTTGCCAGTGTCCTTCTACCATCTCTCTCACATGAACAATTCTGATGTTTTCCGGTTTTACACTGAACCAGTCAGTTCAATTATTTTCAAACTTGATGTGGCTGCTTGTTTAAAAAAATGCTCACCTCCTATATTCCTGAAAAAATGATGATTTTTGCAGCAAGTCTCATTCTCCCCTACATATAAATTAGATTCTTTTTCAGATTCCATTGTCATACCTGTCTCTCTCCCTGGCTTGCTCTCCTTGGTTCTGTGAATTCAGGATGAGTTTTGTGGATTTTCCCAACTTGTTGATGGAGCAAAGCTGAGCTCTTTCAAGCCTGATTGTCATTAGACTTTGGCAATGCCACATCACATTTGTATTGAAAAATAATCAGTGTGTTACCTCCAGTCTCTAAATCACCACCAGCAGCTAAAAAAATCCTGCTTCTCTGTCAAAGTGGAATGTGAGGCTGTGGAGCAGATGCAGGGCTGTGTCCAGGAGGCTGCTCCCTCACATTCAGCATGTTAAACTCTTCCCCTGTGGCTGCATAGCTGCTCAACTGGCTGCACCTGCAGCCCAGGGATGCTGTGAATATGTAGGTCAGGGCTCTTCTGGATTTGATTAAGCATTAAATCAAGCTCCAATCTTTTCAGGTATTTGCTTTGGTGTTAAGCTGTTCCCTTCCTCCTTCATGTTCTCAGTGGTCAAAGGCCCTTAATTGTAATTTACCCGTGGCTGATACATGGTGTGATTCCCTGCACTCAGGGGAGCAATGCTCAGCTTTAGGATTATTTGCAGTGCAATCATTACCTGTGTGTGGAACAATTGAAATTGGGCCACTCCTTTTTTTAAGCAATCTTGTTTTTGCCTCGCAGCTTTAGCCGGGGATAGGGGTTTTGTGCCATTAATACTGTCTGACTCACAGCACTTGGGCTGTTGCCCCTGCAGCAGCTGCTTTTTCACAGCAGATAACGGGAAGCATCTGGAGTGGCTGGGGAGGTTTGTTGTGTGATATTTAGGGCACAGTGGGAGGTGCTGTCGTGTGATTATAGCATATCTGTGACAGCCATCTGTCTCTTTTTGGGGTGTGGGGTGTTTTTGCTGTTTTAACTTTCCCAAACTTCTAATTCAACAGTAGGATTCAAAATTCACTGAGGATGGAATTTTTTCCTTTGGAAAACTGTAGAGAACTGTACCAAGTATAATCAGCAGTATAATTTTGAATTAAATTTATGCACAACTATAATTAAACATGGAATTTAGCTTTCTGCCTGTTCCTAAAGTCCATTATATTTCTCTTGTGTTGAGAGCAAACCCCATCCCCCCTTTGCTGAGCCTGATTTTTAGTCTGTGAGCTTGTGCTTGCTGGTCATGAGCCAAATCAGAAACCTTGGTCTTTGGCAACATTGGGAAAGGGGATTTAGAATTTGTAGACAGGTTTTCCACTGGCCACCTTCTGTTATTGTCTGATTCTCTAAACCAAACAGTTTTAGTATAAATAAAAAATAATAATTTAAGGAAAATAAAGAGAGTGGTTTTTAGTGAACTGAATGTAGTTCTCAGCACAGGAGTATGAGGTGGTGTGATTGAGGAAGAAAGAGGTAAATGTGATGCTGGTACAATCAAAGAGTCATGTTAGATGTACTCTGGAGGCTTCACACTCTATATATGAGATAATACATATAAATTAAAAATTAAAATCAGGTGCCATTCAATGGTGAACAAAGAGCTTATGTGGTTATCAATACCAGGATCTCTGAGGAACTTCCATTAGTGTCCAAGTCTGCTGCGGAGCATCACCTGCCCCCTGGCTGCTCCCTCAGCTGTCGGGAAGAGTTCAGGGAAGCACACAGCAATCCAGGCTGGAAGGGACCACAGGGGTGACCTGGATCCACCTGCAAAGTCAGATCAGAGCTGCATTCAAGTCTGCTCTAAAAAGCTGCTCAGCATCCTAAAGCCCATGGAACAAGCTTCCCAAGGCAGGCAGTCGCCTCCAACGGTTCTCTGGAATTTACAGAGCCCTTTTCTGTGTGATATGCTCTGATGGAGAGCAGCCAGGCTACCAGCTGTGCTCTAGGATGTTCTTCCTAGCTGAGAATCTGTTTGAATCTTCCATCTTTCCAGAGAACAGCCCCAATGAACACGGTATTTAATACTGAACACTTCTCTAATTGCAGTCTCACTGCCCAGAGAAGCTGTGGCTGCCCCACTCCTGGAAGTGTCCAAGGCCAGATTGGACAGGGCCCTGAGCAACCTCATCTAGTGGAAGGTGACCAGATGAGCTGTAAGGTCTCTTCCAACCCTTAACATTCTGCGATTCTACTCTCAGATGGAAGGGAAGGGAGCAAAGGAGGGAAGGAGTAAGGAATACTTGCCAGTCATTGGCTTGGCTACTGAACTGAGCAAAACAAGATTCTCAACTAAGAAATTCTGAATCCTGGGAAAATTCTTCATGTTAGAAGATATTTTCCAGTTGGTCTGGCTGTCATTTGTTCCCAAATGTGTGGGGTGCACAGTCTGGGACTCTCTGGGACCCCAGAAGATGGGAAACCTGTGACTTAGCACAGAAACATTAAGGCTGGAAAACATCTCCAAGATTACCAAGTCCAACCCTCGACTGATCAGCACCCTGTCAACCAGAGCAGAGCACTCAGTGTTTCATTCAGTTGTTTCTTGCACACCTCCACAGATGGTGACTCCTCCACCATGCCAGTGCTTGACAACACTTTCAGGGAAGAAATCCTTGCTGATGTCCAACCTGAACGTCCCCTGGTGCTGCCTGAGGCTATGAATGATGCTGCACTCTGCAGTGTGGTGCTCTTGCAGGTTATCAGTGTGCTTACAGGCATCCTGGCTGTGTCTGCATTGGAGCAGTGTGAAAACATGCTTTTGGGTTCCTAATACATTTTTGTTTAGGATTGGAAGTAAAGCAAATTGTCAGAATCCTGCATTGTCACTGTGTAAATGCCTTGCTTACTTGAAACTCATTTTGCCATGGAGAGCTGAGGCAAAACTGGGCTCAGCAGCAGAGCATGTGTGACACTTCACAGCAATGTGAGGGCTCACACCCTGCCCTTCCTCACAATGCAAAACCCTTCACATACCTTTTTTTTCCCCTGAAAACCCCGTACCTGTCACTTTCTAGCACACACCGGTGACCTTTCAGCTGTCACCCGTGCTGGGGGCAGGGTTCAGGTGGGGCTGTTGCTGTGTTTGGGTACCCAGCTCTGCTCTGCTGCTCGGCCCGGGGGCTCTTTGCAGAGCTGGTGCCCAGAGATGCTTTAGAGGGCTGAGCTAGAGCTGCTGAAATTCCTGGCGGCACCTAGGGCAGATGTTCTGTGAGCACCGCTCACAGCTGGATCCATTTCTGGCCCCATTAAAGCTCCCGCACGTATTTCCACTGGAGGAAAGCTGTCTGATGTTGGAACGATTTTAAACTAGCCGGTTGATCAATGTTGTTTTTCGGCTAAAATGTCTTCCGCCTCTGGAGCAACCCCTGACGATGGCATTTCACCGTGTTTACCTGCGGGAAGCCTCACAGATATTCGCTTACCCCCGAGCCTCGGCCTTTCTCCCCGTGAAGCAAAACCAGCACGGTGGGCGTCCTGGGGCGAGCCCGCGTTACCGAGTGACCGATTTCACCACACGAGCTGCCAGCCGAGCCGGCTGGAGAGCACCGAGCCAGCCCCGGACACCGGCGCCCTCCGCCGTCACGGGAGCCCCGCGCGGCCCTGGCCCGGACCCGTGAGGGGGGAACGGGACCGTTCCCCGCTCCCCGGGCCGGGCCGGGCCCGCTCCCCCCTCGCGGCTCCGGGCCGGGCCGTTCTCCCCTCGCGGCTCCGGGCCGGGCCGTTCTCCCCTCACGGCTCCGGGCCGGGCCGTTCCCCCCTCACGGCTCCGGGCCGGGCCGTTCCCCCCTCACGGCTCCGGGCCGGGCCCGCTCCCCCCTCGCGGCTCCGGGCCGGGCCGTTCTCCCCTCACGGCTCCGGGCCGGGCCCGCGGCGGCGCCTCAGCCCGCGGGGAGGGGCCCTTGCCTCCGTCTATTGTGCGGCTTCTGGCGCGGCTCCGTCGCTGCCTGAAGAACTCTCCAGCGGCCGCTCCTTCCCCCCGAGCTCGCCTCGGCTCCGCTCCCGCTCCGCACCCCGCGGAAGCGGCGCGAGTCCCGGTTTTTGCCGTTTGGCAGCCGCGCTGGGGTGTTCCGCTCAGGCGTTCGCAGCGGGCAGCCCGGGCGTTGCGAGGCGGCGGGAGGCGGGTCCTTGCCCCTCCCCCGCTCACTATAAGAGCGCCGCCGCAGTCGGGCCCGAGCGCCGCCGCCGCCTCCTCACGGTCCGTGCGCGGAGCCGCCGCCGCCTCACGGTGAGGCCCGAGCGGGGCGGGGGGCACGGGCAGGAGCTGTGTGGGCGCGGCGGGCCCGGCTTGCCGCGGACGGAGGGTCGGAAGGCCGCGGGGTGATCGCGGGGGCCGGGCCGGGCGGAAAGGTGAGCGCTCCCGGCCGTGCGGGGATGGAGCTCCCGGGGCTCGCTGGGCCCGAGCCCGCCCAGACCGTGCGGGGATGGAGCTCCCGGGGCTCGATGGACCCGAGCCCGCCCGGGCCGTGGGGAGTTTCGCTCCCGCGGGGGCAGCGTGGGGAGCGGTGCCCGCGGGGGTGGCGAGTGCAGCCTCCGAGCAGCCCGAGCCTCCCCCGCCGCTCCCGGGCTGTTGTGCCTCCGCCTCCCGCTGCCCGCCGTGACCAGGGGCGGCCGCGCCTCGGGTGCGCGTTCGTTACCTGCTCCTGCTCCTGGATACCGGCGCTGGCGCGGGGGAAGCAGCGGGATCCATCCGGAATGGCGCTGAGAGGCGCAGCTGTAGGTGGATGAGCTCGGCGTTTCAGGCTTAGACGAGTAAATTACCGCTGTAATTCAGGTTTGGCTTGAGCTCGGCTCGCAGCCTGTTGTGGTGTTGTCAAATAAAGCTTTTAGAACTGGTTTGCTTAGTCACCCAGTGGTGCTCCTGCCCAGGGACTGTCACCTGCCCGAGCTGTACTGCAGCTTGTTAAAAATTAGTCTTGTTTTTTTTTTTTTCCTGTTTTCTAGGAAACTGAGTTCAGTGGTGTAAAAAAAAAAAAAAAAGTCTGTGAAGTTCTGATGTGTTGTCAATGATAAAGGCAGTAGTTTAGCTTTGTTCTACCCGTTTCAGACCCTCAGCAGTAACTGAAGGGCTTGTTAGAAGCAGATTTGGATGATAGGAGGGAAGTATCCTTGCTGGGGCTCCCCCGGCTAAGGCAGCATCCCTGCCTGGCTCTGCTGTGCAGCATTATGTAAGCCCAGGCACAGGGAGGCTGGCCACGGAGCTGGGTTTGTTCTGGAGTACTCCCAGGCAGTCACTGCAAGAACAGATGCATTAAATTGAAAATGTGTGCCTACAGCACTTTTCCCAAACATCATTCAAAGTGCTAATGCAGAACTGCGCTGTAGTCCAGATCTTGCTTTGTGCATGTGTGTACAAATATATATATATATACACACACACTTGTACCTTTGGAACAGTCATGACTGTGTTCCTCCAGAACACCCAACTTAATTAGAAGTAGCACTGTCATATAGGGTTACATTGCTGTGTAAACATTAACTGGCTGCTCATTGCCAAATGGAAATTAAAGCAATGAGGTCTCGGGGCTGGTGTGAGCTGCTTAATAACACGTGTTGGCCGAGCCTCTCCTGGCCTGGGATTGCACAGGACTGTCAGGCTCAGCCTCACTATGCTGATGAGTTTTCAGAAAGAGGTAATGCAAAGTTGCTTCTAGTGGTCCAGTTAATTAACTGTTGATAGCTCAAGTGCTACTGTGAGGAACTAGTGTGTGAGGCTTGTAAGTTTGGTGGGGGAAGAACGTACACAATTTAATTGAACTTGGAATTCTTTGTTCCCAGAGCTGTTCACAGTAGTTGCAGGCTGTGCAAACACATGCTTCAGTGATCTTGAAGGAGGTAACTCGAGGACCAAAAAATAAAGGAAACTGTTGCAATGGTTTGCTGCTTACAAATGTTTTGAGCGGTAAAGGAGCTTACAACACATCCAACTGTCTGGTTGAGAACAAATTTATAAAATTTATGTGGCCAGACAGTTGTGTTTATAGTATCATTTGGTTGGCTCAAGTGCACTGATGCTCCCCACAGTCTGCACGTGTGGTTTCAGACAGAAGCTGTCATCTCCTGGCTGCTGTGTCATGTGCTTTACTTCTGGGTTTCAGTTGTTACATATCTGGAATTATGCTTTTTTTTTTTTGCAGAATTTGATGGTGTTTTTGCTAATAACATCTTTCAAGCCTGCTGCCTCTTTATTGTAGGTCTTACTACAGTTTGAGGAACTTTGTTAAAATGCATGGTTGTCTCAGGTGCTAACAAAGTACTGATCTTGCTTCCTGCTTAGCAAGGGCAGTTGTGAGTGCTGAAGGCCTTCCTTGTAGGAGATTATTGCTTTTTAATCTCTTCAGAAAACCAAACACTTTCTGGAGGAAAGCCTTTGATCCTGAGTAACCTGGTCTGTTTAACTCTGTTTGGAGCAAGGGAGGCTGGACTAGACTACTTCCAACCTCAATGTTATGATTCTGTTCCAGAGGATATAATTTGAAAACTACTTTTGAGATCTGATGTCGTTTGAGCAGTTGAAGTGAGTAGCAGTTGTTTGGATTTGAAGGCAAGTGGTGGTTTGGAAGTGTTGAAATTTTTTTCAAGAGAAAGACAGCTGTAGTCTTATACTAGAAATAAAAGCACTGTTGACTAGTCTGTGTATTTTATGCTTTCAAGTTAAGAAAAAAAAGCTCATGAATTAGTGTTAGACTTCAATCAATCCTTGTTTCTTAGGCATGAGGATTAATGATTTTAGGGCTGTTGATTCAAGGAGTGAATAATCTGAGTGCACCTTAAGTGGCATTGGGCTTCCTGCTGTTGTGAAGAAAATTTCAGCAGTAAAGGTGCTGAACATCTTTGAGTCAGCTGAACCTGTAACATCTGCTGAGAATTGTGTGGAAATAACTGTCCTTCTCTTGTAGATGCCGTCAATTAAACTGCAGAGTTCAGATGGAGAAATCTTTGAAGTTGATGTGGAAATTGCAAAACAGTCTGTGACTATAAAGACTATGCTGGAAGGTAAGAGTGTGAGACCCTGAGGAAGCCTCTTGGACAGGAACTGAGACAAGCTGGTACTGTGCTGAAAAAGGATTCCCAGGTCTATGGAGCAGCTTTCTCCTGCCTGAACAGCTGTAGCTCCTGCTGTTGTAGCTGAACCTGTTTAGGGGGGATGTGCTCTTGTAAAAAGCCCTGGTTAAGAGCACTTGTAGGGAGGTCAGTAAAATACAAGCAGCCCACTGCCTTGCCTACAGTCTACTTCAGTTTTGTGAGAGTTAAGCAAACAGAACATTCATAATATTTAAAACTTCAGTTTATTTACTCACACAAACCAGTCTTAGACTGTAAATATCACTTGTATGGAGTGGGAGATAATAAATCAATGCAATAAAGAGCTGAAGTTAAACCTGTGTTGTGAGCTTGTGAATGCTGTTAAATTATTTCGGATAAATACTTAGGTCTGATCTCCTGCTGACATAAATTTGAAACAAAAGAACTCGTGGCGGGGGAGGGGAAATCTGCCAGATGGCTGGGATACAGAGCAAACTGTCTAATCCCTCTAGTGCAAATCCTCATTGTTTACTGGTGGCTTTTTCTAGTTTTTGGATGTATTCATGAATTAACTTAGAAACAATTATTTCTGTAGATGTAGTTAATATTATGCTCTTGCATGTAAATGTTTGGTTGTGACACCTTGTGAAAACAGTAAAAATAAGATTGAATTATGTCAGGCATTGAATGCTTCTATTCTGTTAATAAGATGCTGTTGAACATAGCTGGCAAGGCAAACAGGAAATGGAGTGCATTAGGGTGCACAATTCTCAGTTTTCTCCTGCAGGAGTTGTGCCAATGTTGGTGCTTAGTGACCCTCAGTTGGAGATAGAGGGAAATTATTAATGGGAAATGTGTAAGCTAGGCACCATAAACTTGCCTCTTTCTAACCTGGGAGAAAATCACTCTGCTAGTACAGGTGAAATGCATTTTCACTGCAGGTGCCTGAGCATCAGTTAATGTTTTGTGTGTTGGGTGCTGCAGCTGAGAGGGGAGGAGCTGAAAGTTGGGGTTGTACTGAGTACCACGGGACCACCAATGAAATGTCAATTTTCTGCTAACAGATAAAGTGCTGGTTCAGAGGTGATGGTGACAAGTTAAGCAGAGTTTACTAAACTTCAGATATTGCTTGAATTATTTCAGTATCTTTTAATGGCAGTGTTTCAGTTCTGAATCTGTGGAGTAATTTTAAATAAAGTAGTGTTAATTAGCATCCTACTGATAACAACAGTAGCAGCCTTGTCTAAATACAGAAGTATGTGATTTTTATCATGTACAAATTTGAGGTGTGATCATGGTCATATGTTCTTAAAAATTAGGTTCCTTGGTGATGTAGAATTGGCTCATCTGTGCATGTAATGAGTGAAGGTCTGCATTGTTAGTCAATTACATAACTAATTCAAATATGTCTTTGACAAGCTAGGGTGTCATCCAACTGTTAGCATTTGGATAATAAAAAAAGTACATTCTTTAAGCAAAGATTGCTAATTGGTATTTGTTGTTTGTATCAAGTTGGAACTTTAATTATCTTTTTCTCCTAACTTTTACATTGATTCCTTGATCATATCAAGGAGACAAATCCAAATCTCTGTGGAGTGTGCTGACAAGCTTTTAAAACAAGAAGTGTTGGAAGCATGCTTTATAAATGCATTTTTATAAATGGAAGGATCTGTGCTGCTGTCT